TTGAAGATCACAGGCTGGGATGATAAAAAAGTACCTCGTCCCATTGGTGCAGCTGCCCAAGAGAAAGGGCTCTTGGAGGAGGAAAAATGGGGAATGCCATCTTTTTAGCAATCAGGGTGTCGGTGGCACACTCAGATTGCCGTTCTCGTTCAGGGTTTCCTCCTTTCTTTAAAAGCTGCTGCCCCCCAACCCCAACCATCCGTTTAGCAGCGGTAGCTTCTCGGAGACTCATCCACCTCTCCCACACTCTTTCCTTCATGATGCAGCATAGAGGAGGGATCACCTGGTGTGCTGCTTTCCATCTCTCTTTTGCTGCCGTGAGGTTCGTTCAAGGGTTAAGGCAGGAGCCTGCAAAGGGCCGCGGTCTTTGGGGCTTTCCTGCTGATTACCCAGTTTTGTTTCCAGTGGCTCTGAAAAGTCCTCTTCCTTGGGACAGAGGAATGGATAATGCAGATGGTTGATGTTGGGGTCTCAGTCCTTTTCAATTCTCACCTGTTCTTTCCCTCTCCCTCTTGGTCGCCCTGCTCTCGCCTGCCTATCGTCCTGCTCCGAAAGTTAGCTGCTTTTGGAATCTGCTGACGTTTAATCAACCGGATCACGCTCGGTTTCTCGCTAGCTGAACGGAGAGGTGGGCGCGCTTGCTCCAATCTGGGTCGAGGGACTGCCCGGAGATGTCCTTGGAGACACTCAGCTGGAAACTACCAACAATATTCTTCCAAAAGTAGCACCCATCTTTCCTCATTTCAGAGTATTTTCTTGGAGAGCAAGGCATATTCGGGACCTTGGACGGGAGAAGGTCACAGCAGCAATGGCTTTGTATTTCTCCTGTCCCTCAGCCCCTTCCTTTACATTTGTTTGGCTCCTGTTTTCCTGACGCCCAACATTAGACAAAACGAAAGGGAGCTTTCCAGAGAGAAATATCGACTGTTTCTGGCAATAAGGACCGTAATTCTTCCCCCACACGCACAAAAGTGCCATCCGTACCGCCAGACCCGGGCTTCACCCCTGCTGCTGCTCCTCCTCCTCCCAGCAAAGCTTCTACCAACCTACCAGAAAAATTCTTCTGAGAGTCTTTGGTGCAGCCGAGTTTGACCTTTACCCGACCGTTCTGGGGACAGCACTTGATCCCTGGATCCCTGGGATCATCTCAGCAAAAACAAGGCTTCGGTTTCCAGATGAAAGATGTGACCGGCCAGTTTAGGAGGGTCAGCTTTTGGTCTCACGCCTTCTCTAGTGTAAAAGGCGCCTTCCCTTGAAACGCACGGTTCTCCTCCGAAATGGCTTAGTTGAACCCCTTCTGGTCGGCCTCTTTCCTTCTTAGGCCAAATTGTTAAACTGCAAAGAGGTCATGGATCTCTCACAAGACTGATTACTTGCCAGCGGCCTGTAATGACCGTAAACGCTTTTTAAGGAATAACAGGAGATGCTTGCTTGCTCGGTTGGTCTTCCTGCCCCCAAATTCTTCTTGAGTAAATGATAGAGGAACTCACCCTTGCAGAGGACGTTTGTGTACTAGCACCCTATAGTGTCACCCAGCCACATATTACGGACAAAGAGAGGAATTGTATAGTGGCAGCCATGGCTGGAGATGCTGGAAGATGCTATAAATCACCAGCATGGAAATGTTCCAAGAGAGATGTTCCCAGCAGGCTGAAGACAGCATCTTCTGGGTTGTAGAAGGAGAGCCTGTTAGTCTATTGGCAAAAAAGATGTCTGGAAGTACCTTTTCCAACTACAGGTAGTCTTCAACTTATGACCATTTGTTTAATGACTGTTTGAAGTCATGATAGTGCTGAAAAAAGTGACTTACAACCAGTCCTCACTCTTATGACTGTTGGAGCATCCCCATGGTCACAATCCAAATTTGTGCACTTGACAACTGGCATGTATTTACAACAGTTACAACACCCTGGGGTCACATGATCACCATTTGTGGCCTTCCCAGGGGGCTTCTGACAAGCAAAGTCAATGGGGGAAGCCGGATTCACTTAATGACTGCGTGATTTGCTTAACGACTGCAGCAAAAAAAGTTTTAAAATCAGGCACAACTCACTTAATGACTGCATCACTTAATGATGGAAGTTCCGGTGCCAGTTGTGGTCGTAAGTTGAGGAGGACCTGTAGCACATTTTATGAAAAGCATAAGCTTTCATGTGCTGCTGCAGTCGGAAAGGTGCTAGTAGACGCCTCCTGATTTTTGCCATCCTCCGGGTGTCACCTATAAAGCCTGTCATAGCTTAGGGCTGGGTTATCTGTGGGGCTGCCTACCTTCAGTTGTCTGCCCATCTGGCGAGATCAGGCAGAGCGGGTTCGCTTTGGGTCCCTTCGATAAAACAGTATCATCCATCAGGATGCAGGAGCTGACCTTCCCCGTTGCAGCACCTGCTTTCTGGAACAGCCTCCCCGGAGATCGAATGGCTCCCACCCTGATGACGTTCAGAAAGTCACTGAAAACCTGCCTGGTCCCCCGGGCGTTGGGGCAGGGTGTTGGTTGAGCCCCTGCAGGATGTTTTATTGTTATTCAGAATTTGCCTTCTGGATGTTTAGGGTCTATTTCTTTTTTTTCAAATTGTCCTTACTTCTTTTTACACATAAACTGCCCCGAGTCACCTGGAGTTGGGCAGCCTCTAAATTATATTAAACCTAAAGGAATACGTTTTGGGCCAGCAGCCGATGAACGTTACTGCCGTGTGGGGTAACCGATGGCTTGTGATGGGCTTCTCCTGCCTGTCCCTTTTGTTCATCCCACTGATGCCGCAGGGGGGTAGGCACCTCAGATAGGCTGAGAGGCGTCTCTGATGTTTCTGTACCTGGACAAGAAATGTTTTCAAACCAGGCTTTCTTTGTGCAATATGAAACACGGATTTTTCCAGGCTCCCAAGATCCTCGCCGTCAACCGGTAGCCTTTCTGGCTTTTCCTGTGGATTCTTCCATTTTTAAAAAAATTTCCAGCAATAATAATAACAGCAGTCATGGAAAGACAGAACGGCTGCCCGGCATCACCCATGTTATCTGTTCCTGCAAGAAGCTTTAATGCCCCTCCCTTACCTGGTATCCAGCAAGACTGTTGCAGTTTCTTGATCCGATGGGCTGCTTTTAGGGACGGGAAACAAGGATTCCAGGCGTTCTGCAACCCAGAGAGGTGTGGATCTCCTTCCTTCCTCTCACTCGCCAAGCCCCACAGTGTCCCTTCCCCCTCTTTGCAGCTTGCCTTGGTGTTGCCCACATTTGGGGCCCGGCTTGAAAAACACTCGCCGTGTCCTACACCCAGGGCGATGCAGCCCTTCACCCCACCTCTCTGATTCTGAAATGACTGTTCGGAATTAAAACACAGGGACGCTTCCAAATATTTGCTGGCTATCCCATCAAGAGGTTGACAGCTGCTCATACACTCACACCCCTTCCTGCCAACAAGTTCGTTCTACAGCATTTCAGGCAGAAAGATCAGTTGTCTTCCAAAGGCAACGGCCCGTGAGAAGGAAAGGCAGGGGGATCCCTAATGCTGGCACAGGGGCCGTCTTGCCAAAACTGGAAAGGGGCGCTCTCTTTCTTCTCTCCAAGAAGGTACAAAGTTCTCACAAGAGGCTGCCCAGTTGTGCCCTTCCACATGGCAGTGCAAACCAGCCCGGTTGTCAGCTTCAGATAGGGCTGCCTGAACTTGGGTTGTACTTTCTGTTCCCCCACCCCCACCCCACATGCAGGGGTTGCCAATTATTGGGTGGTTTAGAGACAGAGATTTAGCCATCTTACTTGTATGAATTAATACAAAGCCGTCGAGGAAGTAAATATGTTCATGTCTGTTCAATCCATATACCAGACGGAAAGTGGGTTTGACAGCGAAGGGAGACCAAAGTGGCCTTTCGAGCTCATAGTGGCCTGGTTGGCATCTGATTTCTCCTCGGCTTATTCAGTAAACCACAGTGGCTAAGCTCGCACAGGGTGTTGTGTAAGCAAACTGGACACCATTCATACATGTGGGGTTTGGGTCGGGTGCTTCACCAAGATTACAGCTACATCCAAGAGACCTCCTACGGCATGTTAGGAGTATCCAGAAGCCCTGGATGTGCATGAATAAGCGAGCCTGGCTGTCTGGTTGATTTCTTCGGAAGAAAGGGTCACCCAAGTTGATAATCAGCCCCAGATATGGAACGCAGTCTTCTCCCAGCCCCGGTGGGCTAATACTGACCCAGAACTGGTCAGCAACTGTTTATTTTAATCTTCTGCCTCTCCTTCTCCACCTTACTTCCCACGTCTGCCTGCATACTTTCTCCCCTCTCGGCAAAGATAAAATTATAAAGCAAGAGAAAAACAAAGCCGGGTGTTGCAATGAGGATCTGTTACCGTTTAGGCGTCGGTTAGGAGTTTCATGGAATGGAACCAGCTCCAAGCAAGGAAAGAATCAGAGCCAAAAGATACATTCACAGACCAGATGGGTCAAGGAAAACTCTATGCACAAGGAGACGTCCTGTTGGAAGGATGCTCCAGGGAGACCAAAGACAGCCCAGGTTGTCTCCTTGTGGTCGTCCAAGACGGGCGTAGGCGTGTTAGACGGCATAGAATGGAATCTGTGCTTGTTACTACCCCAAACGCAGTGAGGGGCAAAGACTGGGGATCTTCCATTCACCAGGGTTTTCATCCTCAAATTTCAGAATGTGGGGTAGGAGCAAGATTTGGGGCTCGGCAGTTATGGGGTCAAGTGTACCATATGCTGTATTTTAAATTTAGCTCCCCACTCATAGGTTGCCACTGAATTTACCCCTAACTAGTTCTGTTATTCTTCGTATACACTTAGTCACCTGCCACTAAGTTGGTTGTTCTTATATCAGTTTTTAGTCTTAACCCCATTTACACCTGCATAGGAGAGATACTCAGCATGGCATGGTGCTGACTATGTGCATCGCATCGGTGTCGACTCCTAGCGACCCCCTAGATAGATTTTTTTCCTCAGGACCATGGCATAGGAGAACACCACAGGCAAATAAAAAGCGTGTCTTTTTCCCAAACAATGTATAATTGGGTTGTTGTAATAAGAGGCAGAAGAAGAAGAGGGTCCTCACCACCTCTCCAACTTTGGAGGGAAAGTCTCTTGGAAGACAGGGGACATCTCAGTGGATCCAAAGGACGGCAACGGATTAATCGGACCCAGTAAAAGGCCATGAAAGAGAAAGAGGGACATCTGAAAGAAACCCTGATCTGAGGATATTCTGGGAACAAATCATCGCCAGGGAAACGAGGGTGCGTTCAAAAGCAACCTAATTATCTGCCTCACAAGCTAATTGGGTTACAACGCAAGTGTGTTTTGCACAGGTAATGAAAGACGCCAAGAAAAAGACAGAATCAAAGAGGGGGGTTAGCTCACGAGCGCCGAGCGGGGCGGAGGCGACTTGTTGAAAGCGAGGACGGCGCAACGGTGGAAGGAAACGCTGTCCGGCCCTTTCCCACTGGACGGGACTTTCCTCACGCGCTCAAAAGCAAAAAGGCACTTTGGCATTGAGCGACAGCTCCTGGGAAGAAGCGCAAGACCCACCCAGGGTGTGGCGTCCCAGGTGCTTGCCGGAGACTCTTGGCACTGGAACTGCTGGGCCGGGAACCTGCTGGGGCAGGAGGCGCAGATTTGTTACTGAGGCGAAGGAGAAGGACCACCTTCCACAACCTTCTCCCCTGCTGCTCACCCCAGGGGCAGACCGGCTTGGTTCCTGATGAGCCTCTTGGGCTTGGCAGCTGCGGTCCGGGGCCCAACGGCCACGTGGAGTCGCTCAGTCTGCTAATCACCCTGAGGTGGCCTGGGGGGCCCACACGGCCCTCAGGGTCCAGGAGCAATGCTGCTTGCAGAGGGAGAAGCAGGCCAGGGGCTGACCTGTCCCAGGAGCACGATGTCTTGGGTGAGGTCTGCAGAGCATCCCATGTTGCACCTGGCCCTGTTGCCTTGAGGAGAGACCCAAGTCTTGAACCCTATGGCTCACCGCACTAGATCCTGGCCTCTCTCGGGATTCCCCAACCTGTCTCCAAAGTCCTGCACTCTGAGGTTGCATTTCTGCAAGGTTGCAAGGAGTGGCAACCACCAGGCAAATTCTACAGGTGCTGATAGATGTTGGATGTGACGCTCTTGGGCAGGACTGGTTCTGCCCAAAGCCTTTTCCAACGTTCTACAAAATGCCATGCTTCGCCTTCTTATGCTGGAGGACAAGCTCGGGTGGGGGGGCGAGCGATTGCTTTAGCTGAACAATTGGAAAGGTAAAGCGTAGCTCTGTAAGGACCACAAAACAGTGGTGGAAACTCTTCGCAAGAGGACCTTCCGCAGCCAGCAGCAGGGGTGTCTAGTAGGAAGCCCAAGAAGATCCCCAGCGAGCCACTTCCAGGGACGACACCTTCATCAGACTTTCTCTGGAGTGGACTTGACAACTGCCGTCTGTGGGGGAAGAGAAGGGCTGGCCCCCAGTCTCTGTCCTTCATCATAGAAACCCCTGCGCATCACAGCGACCAGGTATTTGAAGAGGCTCTTGGGAACAGGGAGGGGATAAAAGAGAAGGCAAACTTTTACAACCCTAAGCATAGCACTTGGGTCCTCCTGCTGTCCCAGGAGAGGCGAGAGAGAAAGCGTAAGCCACGTGAAGCCTAAGGCAGAGATCCACACCAACACAATGGGAAGGCGTATGTGGAAGGAGAAAGCCGCCACATCTGGGCTCAAGCATCCTGATGGCCACTCAGAGGAAAGCAAAGCCATACAGAATGTCCTACCTTCCTTGCAACCCGGGTACCGCAATGGCAACCCAAAGCAAGATTCCACCCACGGCTGCAATTTTGCATTTCGTCGAAGTTTGCTACATAAGACAGGAGTAGATGTCCCTGAAGTGCAAGGGAAGGAAATCATAGGGCTGGATGCTGCCCTTCCAAAGGGCCCGGGTTTTCTTTTTTATTATTTGGGGGCCTGGATGCATGAAAATATTTGCAGAAATGGGTTTTTCTTTTCCTTGCTGATGGGATGTTATGCTGAAAATTCTCCTTGCCAATAGAAGAGAATCTCTGTAGCTCAGGGTTGAACGGTGGAGTCCTTGGTGCTCTCTGAGCTTGGTGGTTTGCTTGTAGACCTTTCATGACCCAGCTAGGTCGCCTCATCAGTGCTGGTGAGGGTGGGGTTTGCTCCCTGTTTCTATACAATAGCTTGCCCTGCCAGTGTTGGGGGGGTGTTCCTCCTTGGTGATTCCTTGACTAGGGTATTGTTTTCTGCCTGATGGTTTGCCTAGTGTTGATCCCTGCTTCCCTTCCAAATTCTCCTTACCTTCCAGGCCTTCTCAACTTCCAGAGTCCAATCTTCTTTGAGAATTGGCTGAACAGCCTGGATGAACTGAATGCCAATGTACTGAAAAAAGAAAAAAAAAGAAAGGGAAACAATGGTAGTTTTGGAAAAGAGAGACAGAGCGGTGGATTACGTGCTGTGAATCGCTGGTAGCTTTTGTACATATTAGATTGCTATAAAGGGTCTTTCGTAGGAGCCACAGAGAGGCTCTGAGAGATTCAGTAACACTTATACCCTAACATCTGAGAAAAAGGGATGACCTTTTATTGCGTGATTCCCTTGCCTCACTCTATGAATTTTACAATGGTCATTTTTGTCTTCTTCCCAGGTTTTCATGCTGCAATTTCTTTCTTTCTTACCAAAACCAATTTTAAAAAAAGACTAAAGCAGCAAAAAGAAAAGCAAAGCACCTGCCTGCATTAAGGGAGGACAGGTGAAGACACCCCGGGTGCAATGCCTCTGCAGGAATGGGACGAGGCGACATTGGCAGGAACGCACCCGGGCGCTTAGAAGGGCAACCGGCAAGACCCGGGGGAATATTCTCGCCCTCCCTTCTGTTCTAAAAAGGGAGAGGGTACAAAGGCAATCTGGAATGTCCTTCTTAGACGACTCAACTACCGAGGTGCGTTATTTCTTTAATAAGGCTTGTGGGGCACCTCCTCCTCTAGATTAAGCCCAGCCTTGGCAGCCCCATTTCTGCTCTTCCTCCTCCATCTCACCTCGTAGTAGTTAGGGGGAGCTTTGTACCGGAAGTGACTCCTGCCCAGCTCAAAGGCCAGAACTTCCAGTTTGCCTTCTTGGTCCAGCCGTGCCACGCTCTTCTCAATGAACGACATCACTCTGGCAAGGGCGAGAGAACAGAGGAGGCCTCTTTTCTGGATACGTTCGTCCTCAGTGGGATTCAAGGCCCCTTTCTAGGAGACCTAGGGGTCAGGACAACCCAAAGAAAAGCTCTGGGCGGGGCAGAGGTTCAGTAGCAGCCTTGCGTAGGAAGGGAGAGGAGAGGAGAGGAGAGGAGAGGAGCTCTCCAAATTGCAGGGAATGTCAAGGGCAAAGCAACTGCCTCTTCCTGTCCACAGCTCCCTGGACACTCTGTGGGGTGGGGGCAGAGTGGTCGGAAAGGGCAGGAGGGGGAGGAGGAGGCAGCACTTAGACCTCAAAAGTTGAGATAATCATTTCAGGGTCCAGACACTCTAGTTTCCTAGTTGGCTTTCAGGCACTATTTTAATATCCTCCAGAACTGGATGTGAGAGAGAGCTTCCCATAAATATCAAGGGATAAATCCAAGAGGATAATGAAGATCATAAGTACGCTTCCTCTCCAAAATGGGGAGGACTCCTACCCATCCCAAGTATCCCTAGTGGTGGATTTTGGGTGGGTAAGCAGACTAAGTGGGTGGAACTCTGCACCTCCCGCTGTGATCTTTCCTGGCATCCTTCCTTGGACTGCCCTTTGGACCTAATGACCTAAACTGGGTGCGGACAATACGCTGTCTTCTTAGGAGTTGTGGAGGATGAAGTCACCCCTCTGTCTATGCTGGAGGAGTGAGCAAAAGCATCTTGATCCAACCAGGACAGTGGTAATTTTTCTCCCATGTCAATATACCCATCAAAGCATTTGCGAAGGGCTTCCTCCATAGTGTACAGAGGCATGTTTTGAGTTCAGTTAAAAGGCTCCAGTGAAGGAGACTTGATTTATCTACAGGAAGTCTAGATATGAAGAGAAATGTGGGAAGTTTCCTTTGGCCAAATCCAACCACTAGTTTTTCTAAAGCTGGAAAGGGATCTTCTCTGGGCCAAGCAGACACTCTGCTATTAAGCTATTGCTTATGACAAGTCCATCATTGATTATACTTCTGCAAAAAAATTGGTTTTCTTCTCAAAGAAGTAAGTGTAGGAAACTGCAAACAGGTAATGTAGCAAGTGACACCAAAGGAGCTTGGCATGAACGTTGCAGATTATAAACAGATGTATTGAAACAAATCCATCTTGTCTGTCTATCAATATCATTTGAATGAGGTTGTTGACTTTGACTTGAACAGAGAAGACATTTGATCTAGCAATCTTCTGCTGGTTGCCATGGGCAAATCAGATTAAGCTCTGTGTTAATTTGTTTAAGGGCCATTAGCTGCTGCTGGCATTAACTAAATTCAGTTAATGAATTTAACTGAAACTTAGATTCAGAGCTGCAGAAAATGGAGTAAAATGGAGATCCAGTAGCATCTTTGGTTGAAAGGGTTCAGTGTCTCTCCTGCTGATTACAGAAACCCAGATGTTCCTTCTCCTGCCTCTCTTCTAGGTCTGGCTACGCCAGCCAATGACAACCCCATAGGGAAGACAAACCCCAAGAAAAGGAAGGAAGAGGCTGCCCCCAACCCTCTCCCAAGGAGACCCAAAACAGCCCAGCTGCATGCTGGCTGGGGAATTCTGGGAGTTGAAGTCCACACATCTTAAAGTGGCCAAGGTTGAGAAACAGCATTACTAGCTTCAGGCTTCACAAATGCATTGATAAAGGTCTCCAAGCAGGGACCATCACATCTTGCTTGTGCAGACACACAGTTGAACAATGTGAGGGGTAGAGACGTCCTTTTTCTGTCTTTCTGGGATCCCTCCCAATTCCACTTCATTGGGGGTCCCCTGTACGAGAGAGGAAGAAGACTGTTCCCCACCTGCGTCCTCCCCACCCTTATCATTGTCTTTGTCCTGTTTCTTTTTCAAAGCTCAAATTTCCCTGTTGTGCCTCAGGTTAGGAAATGAATGTGCCTGCTTGTGTCTCACCCAGGAAGGTTAATTAGTGGCCGAAAGGGATAAGACATTTAGGTCTATCACAGGTGGGATTATGAGCCGGGCAAAAGGGCCGAGCTTCATGTTGGGCCAAGTCCGTAAGTTGTAGGAGGAAGGGAAGGGTGGGGAACCCCTTGTGTTGCTCCTCCAGGCAGAGACATGGTGAAGGATTCAAGCACTGCCTGGCAACCATCGCTAAATCGCCCAGAGTCACTCTGTAGTAAGATGGGCAGTGGCAAATTTGAAATATAAATAAGTAAATAAATAAATAAAATAAAGGGGATACTGGAGCCTCAGTCCAGGGGGCCCTGTGGTTTGGGCAGAGGCGTGGCAGAAGCCTGGCCCCAAACAGGACCCTCAGACCCACCTGAGGCCATGGGCCTGCAGCTCCTTATTCATCTTCAGCTGTTGCAGGTCATCTATGTCACGGAACAGGAAAAAGACGTCTTTACACTCAGGGTGGGTCTCAAAGAGTCTGGAGAAGAAGCAGGAGACAGTCTAGATAGCAAGCTCCTTGGGAAGTCTTTGGAAAAATGGGGTCTTCTTCCTCCAACCTGTAATGGTCTGTGAGAAGGTCCTGGAGAGACAGGAGGAGGAAGAGCCGCGGACTAGGCCACGGTCAGATAAAAGACATCTTAGCCCGCAGAAGGAATGGGGGCCTGGCAAATGTCTCAGAAGCCAGGGAGAGAAGTGCTTTCAGACTTGCAAGATTGATGTCAGCCCTTGGAGGTAGTCCAGACAAGAAGCACCAACCATGTATAAATAAACTACCTTTATCATAAGGTTACACCAACAGACTCTTGCAAGTCTGAAAGAACATCTCTCCCCCGTCCCCTTTACAGCCCAAGGAACTAGGGAGGGTCCTTCTGAGACGTTGGAAGGGCCCCATTCCTGCTGCGGGCTCAGCTGCCTCTTATCTGACCGTGGCCTAGGCTGTGGCTCTTCCTCCTCCACCTGCTCCTCCTGCTGTCTCTCAAGGACATTCCCCCAGACCATTACACAACCCACCACCCCGTTCAGAGAAGCATCTGTCCCCTTTTCCTTTTCCATCCTCTCTTTCAGACTGTGCACCTACCATTCAGTGTCTCCACCCCCCACTGCTTTGGCTGAAAAGGGGGATAAACATAAGAATTGTTTAAGGAATGTTTATACTGGCCTTTGTAATAGTGATCCCAGGATGTTTAAAACTCAGACAAAGGCCGTGCGAATGCAGTCTGTAAAAACTGTCTTAAAAGCAGTTGTTAAAACAGCAGAGGAAACAGCAAATAACAAAAAGGAAACATCTCCCCGTTATCTGAAACACCATTCGGATATCCGAGAAAAGCAAGACCACTTTGCCCTAAACCATCATTCTTCTTTTTATGCCAGGCGTGCCTCTGCAGTAGGTTGCACTCCAGATGTTTCGAATCTCAGTTCCCACCATCCCTCTCTCCCCCCACCCTCCGGCAAGGGCTAAGCAAGGACAGATGGGAGTTTCAATGCAACTCATCTGGAAAGGGCTAGATTAGGAGCTTTTCTGCAGAAAGTGAGTGTGGCTGGGCTCGAGACAAAGGGCAGCTGTCCCAGTGGCTCTTACCCAACCGAAATCACACCGAGGCAACGCGGCGTCTTTGTGACCCGTTCTTCAAAAGCCTGAAAGGACATGTGTTGAAGTTCTCCACCCGGTAAGGAAGTAATTTACATATAAGGGGTGTGTGTGTGTGTGTACAGACCCACACACACACACACTTGGCCTTTACTAAATAACAAAGAGATCACCCATTGCTATCATATTCTTCAGAAGGTTGTGGTTTCATTAAATGAGACTCAAGATGAATCCAGTCAGGTCTGCTAAAGTCTCAGCACCAGGATGGGGGGCGTGATGGGCCTTGGGAAGTTGGCCGCAGCCACTTAAAAATACATAAACAATTACACCGCTTTGAGGACCATTGTACAAGGGACTTGTGGCTCTCCTCGTGGGATGAAATTGCACTAAAGATGGATTCATGAGAGAGAGGCACTGAAAATGGGTTGATCCACCATTGCTGGGAAATATGCAAAGTTGCTGGGAGCATATAAGTTTAATAAATTATTAGTATTGACATGCATGTCAGATTCTGAAGGGGCTGCAGTTGGAAGAGCATGTTATGAAGTCAGAGTTGAAAATGGAGGATTGAATATTCTACTGTTTCTGACGAGGAACGTCTCCGTAACGAGAGCCAGTGGGGTGTAATGGCCGAGGAGTCGGAGGGGCACCAACGGGATGCAGGTTCTGGTCCTCCCCGCAGCCATAGGGGCTCCCAGTGACTGTGGGCCAGTCCTTCTCTATCCGCCCAGCCTCCCTCACAGGGTCGTTGTAATGAGGGAAAATGGGAGGAGCCCCATGAGCTCCTGAACAAAAAAGTGGGGCATAAATCTAAGTGACGAATAAATAAACGACAAGCAAAACTAAGAAGCGTTATTCCAGATTGATGCTAGCTCAGAACAAATTGGTGTTTTCTGTCTTCTAATCCATTGCTTCAAGAGGGACGCGTGAGTCATTGCATAAGCATTATAGAGATGTTTAAAGTTTTCTTTTGTTGGGGTTTAATGGTTGCTTGGTTGGTTTGGATTTTGTGCGTTTGTGTGTGTGTGTGTGTATGGATTTGTAAACTGCTGAGAGTCACAAGGGGACTGGCAGTATGAACATTTCAGAATAAAAATAAATACAATATGCTTTGAGGCTCTTAATTTGAGAACTGGACAGCTGGATTAATTCTAGAGTTCTGAGATTTTTATAACATTCTCCCCTCTGTCTTGGTGGGACTAAATTAAGAATCCACGGGTGGCATTTGGAACTGTCCAAGGCCCGTTCTGAAGCAGTATCTGGATCCAGAATCCAAATGGTTGCGTAACATTTACTCCATCTGAGTCACTCTAAAATAGCCTCCCCTGTAATTATGGGCACCTTCATACTTTGCAGGACTCTGGCTGTGAAGAAGGTGAAGATTTTTGGCCACAAATCTGTAGCATTCCTTTGAAAAACCCTTGTGCCTTATCAACCAACTTAATAAAAAAAAGGCTCTTGCTGGCTGGCTGAAAGACTCCACCAGGGCACCTTTTTCTACATCCCTCTTTCTGCTGCTGAAGTGAACCAGCTGGATTCCCACAGATGCAAAATGAAAAAAAGCCCAAAGTACTTGCAGAATTGGGTTCATTCGATTCCGCTTTGGAACAATCAGGGGGAAAGATCCCAGTTAAAGAAGCACCTGTTTCCTACCTTGTAATATACATTTTTCATCTATTTTGCTCTTGTCTTAATCTGCAAGAAGCATTTGGAGGGTTCAGCCGGGTGAAAAGCTGAAGTCACATCCCTCCACTTTTGTACAAACCAGGTAGGCTGTTTAGTCTGCAAAACAAGGGAAAGCATCTGGGGTGGGAAGTAGGCAAGAAGATTTCACAACAGCTGTTGCAAGAAGAGAAAATCGGCGGTGGGGAGGGGCTGCCCTCATCCTCGGCTGCCATCTGTTAATTAGAGGAGCATCTTCAGGAGGCGGGAGAAGGTTAATTGACAGGAAGCCAGCCGGGCACACATGGAGGGAAGCCTCCGAGCGGGCACAAGAGAGCCAGCAAGGCGGGCAGCCTCAGATGTTTGCCTCCATTCTCTCTCTCCCTTTCAGTGCCAGCCTTTGCGCTGGCCATCAGGGCTGCTCCTCCCGGCAGACTGCAGAGCCCTTTCACATCTGGGCATCAGGCATCTGCAGAGTCTCCGAGCAGGTTCTCATCCACAGAGAAGGCAGCGTTTACCCAGGCTGACCTGCGAAGAAGTTCGCAGAGGATCCTGGTGATTCCAGCCAGGGCGGAGAGAACACTGATTTCTCGGTTTCCTTGGGAGGAAAAAATGCTTTTCAATTTGGTGTCAGTCGGATAACGTACATCACCGAACCCCTTGCGTGCATCTCAGGGAAGTAAAAACTGTTTGTACTCCGCACCGGTGTACGATCTCATGCCCAGCGGCCCTAGTCAGACAGAGCGTGAGTGAGACTGCTTGGCCTGAGAGCTTGGCAGGGTCAGATCTGATCTGTCCGGGGGTGGAAGATCAGATCCCCAAGAATGGTCAGGGCCAGGCCGCTCTGGCCGCACGAGAACCATGTCCTCAGAAAAAGCATGACCAGCCCTTTTCGGTACGGTTGGCCAGAAAACGGCACGGCTGTGTCATGAAGCTACCAGGAATAAAGGCAGCGCTAGCAGCTCTATTCTGCTTCTCTCCATCATCCAGAAGACGCGGTCGGAGCCCGGGTCTGCTCGCGTGCCCCAAAGGTGCAGACAAATCGTCATTTTTAATGGATCAGGAGGAGGAAATTCTTAACGGCAGGACCGGAGACAAATCATGTGAACTACGTGAACAAATGTGAACACAATGAAAGGCAGCCTTTGTCCCAGCCCCTCCTGTCACGCAGCTAAATGAAACCAAGCCATCCATAAAAACTTCGGAAACAGGAATGATCTAATCCATTTCCAGGACCAGGCTCAAAAAACCAGCCGTGGGACTTGAACGTGCCAAAGCCTGACCCCGAATCGTGGCCCACCCGCTTTTCGCCGCCTCTTCCGCAGATCCCAAAGATGCGAGGCTGGAACCGGGCACCTGATTCCACAGCTGCTCCAGGCAGGCTGCGGTCTCCAGCGGCCTCCTTCCTGCCCCATTCCCAGAATTTGGCAGAGAAGCCCTGGCAATCTGTCTCCCGTTTGCCAACGCCTGTGCCGGCCCCGCAATTTCCATCAAGACCTCGGCCCTGTTCCTAGTGACCTTTTCACAGCTTGCTGGAGACCCTGACCTGAGCGGATCCTTGGTGAGCAAAGAAACGCATCTGGCCAGTGGGAGTTTCCTGCAGCGCAATCAAACCCAAAGGGGAAGGCAACATCGAATCAAAGACGGGGCTGCTCCAGCTTCTCTGCTTGCAGCCGACTTCCTTCTGCCCCTTTTACGCCTGCCTGACTTCTGCTTCTGCATCTGCTTCTGCTTTTCTCCCTCCCTCCTCAAAGCCACCTTGAGTTTGCTGGACACAAAACAGACTCTGCTGTGCATTTGCCAAGAGGTCCCCAAATGAGAGGCAGGGCGGGGAGAGAAAGAGAAGGGTGTGCGTGTGCCTGGGAGGAGGTGTCTCAGCTCCAAGTCTCTCAGCTCCTGTCTGGGCACCAGGCAGGCTGGGCCCCTCCCAATCTGCTGCCCTGTGAAAATACCTCTAAACATGAGCAGAGGACATCCCCTTGCTGCTAAATGGCTGCTGTTTGCTGGCCCTGGGCATTGGTGATGGGATGCTTTTCCTGACTCGCTACTAGTCGAATCATAAAGCAGAATTGTTTTAGAGAGAGAACAGGGAAGGAGGGCTCAGAATAAAAGGGGAGTTTTAAAACGAGACATCGTGGTTGAGCTGGAGGGTTTCCATGCTATCCAAGACGGAGGCAGAAGTTCACTCCGCCCTGGCGCGTTTCCGTTTGTTGGAAAGCTAAGCATCAACATTTTCAGAGAAATTAAATCAAGTTTTTAAAGGGGAAGCATGGGACAAGGAGGGAGGCTGCAGATCCCAAGAGATATAAAGGAATTATTCATATTGCAAAGTGCATTTCTTCCTCACTGGGGAAACACTGTTTTATTTCCCTAAATTAGATATAGAGGTTCCCCCTCCCAACTCCTGACAGCTCTGGGTGGCTTACAATGTAAAAAGGAACAGATGCCATATAACAGAGAAAAGAGAACCACCCACGTCCAGGGGGAAAAAAACCCAACCGACTCAGCTCAGCACCCACCTGCCTGCCTGAGGCCTGGGAGAACCACCAGGTCTTCTCTCAGGAGGTCACTGGGGGGCAGCCCTCCAGGTCTCGGGGGGGAGATGCTGCTCCAGAGGGCCGGTGCAGCGGCAGAGGAGGTGCGCTTCCTAGGTCCCAAGGTCACCCTGATGAGCTGAAGGGACTGGAGCACCCCCCTCTGCCCGATCGCACCGCTCCCGTCATCCTCAGCTGCCAAAGCAGGAGGCAGACGGCCGGCTTCAAAAGCAGAAAGCCGCCGACCTGAAGCAGCAACGGTCGCTTGCGGGGACCCCTCTCGGCCCCTCTCCCAGGTCATGGCAAGGAGGAGCCCCGGGGAACAGGAACGCAGTGCGAGCAAAAGCTTCTTCTGAGCCATCACGAACCCAGCACGCTTCCAAATGGCGCTCCCTTTCCAGCCACATCGGAGGGGCGCAGACCTTGTGGAGGAGCTCCTGAGCCAAATGCGCCTCCCTTCTCCTGGGCAATCTGTGCCTCAGTTTCCCCATCTAGGTTTGCAGGTTCACCCCTCCCCGGCTTTCCTTCACCCTCAAGCAACTATCCTCTCTCTTCCTCTTCAAGTGGGGATATTCAGTAGAGCAAAGCTTAATTTCTGCAGAGGCCTGGGGGGTGTGCACACGCGCTGAATTAGAAAGAGAGGGGTGGGATGGCTCTGTGCTGCTGCCCCTTGCTTCCCCTGCCTCGCCACAGAAAGCCCACCCCCCCCCCCCGCCGGCTGCTCTCCAGCACCTCCAGGCAAGGGTCCTCTTAGCCTGAAGAGGGGATGTCAGCCAGGGGCTGCTTAGAAGAGAGGCTCGCCCACTCACTTCTTCTCGGCAGGCACGGAGACAGGCATGGGAAGGGCGAAGACGCAACCCCGCACAGAGGGAGGGTCCAGCTTTATGGCTCTTTTCCTGTGCCCCTCAGGCGCTCCCACAGACTCTCTCAGGGAGCTTCCCTGGGTCTGGAGCAAGAATCTCTCTGGACTGATTTGACAAACTCAGAGCCACCGCTTAAGTGCCATGGACATGCACGCATGTTATGTGTGCACGCACGCACATATGCACCTGCATGCACACAAAAGCCAGCGCATTTGGAAGACCTCGTAGAGGAGAGCCATGATCATCCATGTCAGCAAAAACAGAACGAAACAGAAACCCACCACCCCAGAAGGGGTCCAAGAGCACCTTTTCCAGCAAACACATTTTATTCATAGGCAGCTGCTTCTGCCTTTTAATAACAACTCAGAGCAAACGAAGGGCAGAAAGCCTTGGTATCTCTCTCCTTTGGGCGGAAGGACCCCAAAGCTCCTCTTTCCATTTCAAGAGTCGAGCAGCCTTCCCCAACCAGGGTCCCCGCTTGCACTGGTGGAATTTTGGGGTACGTGTTGCATGGGCTTGGGTGTTCCCTTGCAAAGACAGAAAATTTGCCTTACCGAATGAAGACAATGATTCCAACTCTGGTAATGTTCTTATGCAGAATTTTCCAGGACTCCCGAATCAGCTCCTTCTGGGCTTCAGAGAGCGGGAACGCTCCGGCCACCTCCCCGCTGTTTGCATCCTTCCCGTCCTCAGCCAGGCCCGGCGCTGAGCACTTCCTTTCTTCGGAGGCGGTTGGATCCCCTGCGTCCCCCGAGCTGGACAAGGCGCATCCCATCTGCCTCCAAAG